CACAAGGTTGTCATTCCTTGACTCACCCGAAATGAGAATTGTCCTTGAGACTGGGATTTGAATTCTCTGTTCCGATGTTTTGGAGGAAACAGGTAGGTTTTGTTTCATATTTTACATTGCACTTAATAGATTTTTTTTTATCTGTGCAAATATGGAGATTGAATGTATATATTCGCGTGAGTGTGTAGTGTGAGAGGGCCAATAGCGTAATACTGAATACACCATCGACTCTCCCATAGATTGGTTATAATTATGGTGAGTGTAAAATGTGTTGGAGGAATATATAGAACTTCACCGCCAAACACAAGGGTACTATTCTATGGCTCCATATAGAGGGCGTGTTGCAATGCCACCCGATACGAGAATTTTTTTTCAGGCAGGGATTTGGATGTTTTGTTTCGATTTTCGGAGTTATGTTAACCTCCGTTTTATTGTATATAGTACTGACAGATTTTTTCTTTGAATATATGAAGATTGAATGTATTTATTAGTGTGAGTGGGCAATAGCGGAATATTGAGTACTCCGTCTATCCTCAATAAGATTGGTTATAGAATAAATAATATATGATGGAGACCTATCGATTCACAACAGTACACAAGGGTGTCATTTCATGACTCCATATAGAGGGCGTGCAGGAATGCCACCAGAGAAGAGAATCGTTCTAGGGGCAGCAATTTGAGTCCTCGGTTCCGATTTTTAAAGAAAACTGGGCTGATATTTTTTTTCTTTGAAATTTTTTTAAATAAAATGTACTTATTAGCGGGAAAGTGTAGTGTGAAAAGGCTTAATATTGAATATCCCATGGTTAAATAGATGGGTAGATATAGTATGTGTAAAAAGGCAATGGACGAATAGTACTCCACTATCCTACACAAGGGTGGCGCTCTTGGCTCCATATAGAGAGCGTGTAGGAGTGCCGCTCATTTCTGTACTTTTATATATTAAGTTGAGCTTATCCTATAAATTAATCTAACAGGGTAAGTAAGTTAATAAACACAGGTTTTTTTAAGAGGGTGCGCAACAGCAGTGGTCGGGGTGTCGGTGAATTTGAAAAAAAGCATATGTTGGGGTCGAATGAAGGGCTGCTGGATTAACAGTGATGAGCGTCGTGTCAACTCCCTAACCTTGCGGCCACCGACTCTCCCCTTACAGCTACATGGTCACAGGACGATCGGAATGCTAATGATAGGAGCAGGATGATAGGAAAGATGATCGGAAACCACCAAAAGTATCCCTCAAATCCCAGTATGTAGGCTTAGTTTGGTAGCTCAATTGATAAATATCTGCCTAAGTCCGATTGATGCCTGGACTTGGAACAAACAAACGAAGCTATGACGAGGACGCTCGGAAACAGTAAAACTATCGATCCATCACCCCTAACCTCAAGAAGCACTCCACAGTTTTGTTTGGTCCAATTGTTAAATGACTTCCTCAGAATCAATTTTGATATGAGTGATCCTCGGACTAGGACGAAATGTACATGAGGATCTACGGAAACGTAAAATGATCCAAAATATACAATCACTCTTGTTCTGCTTTTTCAAAACGTCCAACTTATCTTTCAACGTTCACGTTGTATTTATAGATTCAGACCTAAATAAGGTTGACCTAAATTAATTTACCCCTTTTGTAATTTATCTGGCTAATGCGAATTACTGTTAATTCGAACAGAACTTAGTCCCAATTGGTTTTAAATAGATGGACTCGACTGTACTTAAAAGAGACAATGTTTAAGTTCTTTTTAAAAAGATAGTTCCTACTCTCAGTTTGTTGTTTACAACGATCCGGATTTCAAGCTTAAGGCTCATCATCAGATTGTAGAACTCCTATAGCCTGATGATGAGCTAAAAGCTTGAAATCCTGATCGTTGAAAACAACTAACTGTGAGCTGTAACTATCTTTTTAAAAAAATTGAACACCATTTATCATTTCTAATGTTTAAGTTGTCCCCTTGTAGAAATTATTTTCGATTCGGTAAGTACACTGAGAAAATCCTAATTTTAGCCGATGTCGGTCAGAGTTTCAAGTTACTTCGCTTGCCTGCTTCACCACCGTCAAAAGCCCCAATTACCTTTGCTCCTAGCTTCGACTCAATTATCCTAAGTTTCTTTTCTATTTAAAAGGTTCAGGTAAAACCGCATTATACCACGAAGTTTCCACGTTCAATTTCATTATTTGCCCTTGCCTGTCTGGAGAGCCCGTAATTTAAAGAAGGTCCTTCAAGATCCTTGGAAGCTTTTCTGAATTAAGTAAAGCTTTATTTATTGTTTGCTGGTTTATTAAATTTAATAACTTTTTCAGCCATTACGCTGTCATATTATTAGCTTACTTAAGCACCTCGTGTCCTATAAAACTGTGGCAAAAATGATATATTCCTAAGAGAAAATTAAGTTGGTTTCAAAACTATCAATCTAGACGCTCGTTAGTTCTGAAGGAACGGTTTTACTAATTTTCTTTTTATTTTAAAACAAAGTAATTTTTTGGCACGGTTGAGAAAAGTCTGAAGGCGTGTCGGCTGAGCTGGGTTAAATGGAACGACGTTGTACAACACGCTCGAAAGACCACGTTTCACAAAATCGCCCAAAACACCCATAAATGATCTGCCAACTTTTTCCTGTTTCTGGGATACTTATACAAAATAAACAAACCAGTGTTTTTCTTGATCGTGGTTTATCGATTTTAATATAACACGGAATTTTTATGGACTTTTAAACGGAATCCAGAGACTCCTTCGTTAAGAGGTGGAGGTGGAGAAGCCAACTCTTCCTCGTCTCAGGGGCAAAGAAATCCTTGAAAAGTGTTGGAAAAATTGATAATTTAAAAAAAAATTTCCAATTTAATTTTTCCCAAGAATGATAATTAGCCAAAACCATCGACATCTAAGACCCTCCCTTCTACCTACTGTCTTGATTTTTTGATGTTCAAACAAAATGACCACTTCATTTTATTTACTCTGCACATAAATACAACCATTTTTTGCACAGAATGAAACAGTCTATGAGATTCCGAGCTTTAAAAATGCTCCAAATAATTTTTTGGAAGTTAGGAACTTAGCGCTCTTGTGTCTGTTCCCTTGATGAACTTATAATTCAACATGCGTTACACTGTTTGAAAACTCTTCTGTTTTATGTACTTTCTATACCATAAACAATCTTTCAAAATGAAACAGCGTCTCTTTGCATCTGTATGTAACGTTTTTATGACTTAAATAGGAAAATTTTTTTCATTTTTAGGTACAATTTTCTGAAAGATTTCTGAAACTATTCCTTTCTAATAGCCAAACCATCGTAGCGAACAGTGTTTCTGAAAACCACCCAGGAGCAGAGAAATTTTTTTTTAATTAAAAAAGGTGTAAAAGTTAAAGATTATTGCCAAAAATTTACCATTAACTAACTTGAAAACCACACAGCTAAGAAATTAACAACAATTTTGTTTATTTTCTTGAAATAAAAAAGAACAAAAAAATGTTTGTATTAGATTATATAGATTTGAAGAAAATAGTACAGAAAACGGCAACTTTTTGGCCTCTCTTTGAATATCTAAATGACCTTGAAAATTTGCCGAAGTACGATGGCACAATTACACAGAAGACAAACACTTTGAGTGAGTAGAAATACTTTGATTGAATATAAAAAATATATTTTGCAATGTATAAATTCACTTTTTTCCACATCCTGCGTGTATTTGTTAAATTTAAACAATGATTGTAAATCCCAGACCCTGAAGATGATCTCAATAAAGATCGAAACGTAGGCACGATAAAGAAAATGTTTTTCTGACATCTACATCACGCCGTACCGCATCTAACGATTTCTGAATAACTACGATATAATTTTGTGTTTTGACGCTTAAATACAGCTTCTTCTGAAATCGAAATGCGTATGAAAGTTAAAATCCATCGAGTAGAAATGAAGCTACCATTCAAACAGCAAATGACAATGCGTAAGTTACACCCAAAAATGTCCGTGCTTATGTCAGATTCTCTGCTTTTATATTCTTCTTATAAATACATAAATTAACAAATATGGAAGGTTTTATTTTGGCAAAACATTAAAGCGGGAGGTTTGGTTACTCCAGGGTAGCTCATGCTTGAAATTCTTTCCTACCGATTTTAACACCATTCCTTCCAAAGGACAATGAACCCCATGTACAATACTCTCCTACTTAAAAAACAGAAGATATTGTTCATTTCATTTTGAGATGCTTTATTAAAAGACTTGTGGCTTTACTTGCCTTTACCACCTAGGATTAATAAATTTCGTCTTTCTACTTTGGACGAATTTTCATAAAGCTAGCGGTGAAGTTGAAAAGGTATTCTGGATGATGATGCATGGTTGATCACCGTGGATCATTATGCCGTGATGAAGAGAGTAAGCACGTCAATATAAGACAAACAGTAAAAAAAATAAGATTTATAATATTTCATGTGCTTTCGGATTCATCTTAGATCGTAATGGCCCGCCCACGTTTCGCCTTTTTTTAAAATTCCAAAAATTCCAGCCTAAATCTCGTTCTTTCTCACTTAAATATCTGATACACTGGAATTTTGTGTCTCCACTTGTCGGGCATCTTCTGAAGATTTTTGAAGTGGGAAACTCGTCTAGACGAATTGTCCAGCAAGAAAGGGCTACTTAGGATCATCGAACTAAGATGTTAAACAAATCGAAAACCAACCAAAAAACTAAATTCCAGATAAATTTTTCAACAGATTTCGTTAAACTGCTCAGTTCCGAAAATTCTCCCAATCTGGATCAAATTTTCTTTATTTTTTTAAATCTTGGCCTTGTAATGTACAAAGAGTGATATGAAGATGCGTGCTTTAGAAATTTTTTATTATTAATAAATTGCAATGACTGGAAATATCCTTAAATGATTTGTTTTCTCTAGTAATGTACCTTCAAGGTTCTTAAGCTTCTCAGGACGAAATTGTAAAAAAAAATATATTTTTTTAATATTTAGGAATATTTCTGCCAAAAGTTTTGAGGAGGATTCTTTATACCTTAATCATGGATCGCTTGACTTCCGTGTACAGCCAGTTGTCCGTGGAGAAGGCGATGGCGAGGAGGGCAGTGGCGACGATGGCCGTTATCGTGGCCAGCGAGAGGGTGACGGCGGAACAGGGCATTTTGTTGGTCACTTTGCACAGTCACAAACGTTATTTTCTTTTCCAAATTGAAAATACTGGAGAACCCACGCAAATAACACGCCGAATAGCACTCTTCGACGGATGGTACGGAGGATCTGGACTACCTCTGCACCCGCTCCTGAAGACTCGGTTGTGGAAGGGGGCCCGTTCTTCGCCCGCTTCTGGATACCGACGCCAGGTTGTCGGAAGAAGATTTTTCTCGATCTGCGCGCTATCTCTTAGCACGCCACTCGAGCTAGCACAGCTTCATAAACAACATGTAATAGAGTAAACAGAAAAGAAGATTCAAGTATGTATACACACTAACAAAGAATGTCTTTTAAAGATAATTGGTTCAATAACAATATTATTTATGAATTGTTAAATTATAATAATATTTAATTACATGTAGTATGCATTGTAAAATTAATTGTATATTAAAATTAGTTGTTTGTGCAGCCAGATTCTGCAAAGAAGCAGACATGACACAAGCACACATATTAAAAAACTGTGGCGATACATTTGCAACAGGAGTAATTGTTTATGATGTTCAATGACTCTAGAAAAAATTCAGCAACTGAAAACTACTATTAATTAAATATCCTGATAAAAACTAGGACTACCCAGAGTGCTTATACATACAGAACAGGGGATGCAAAGGGGTCTCAAAGGGTGCTACATAAACTGCTCAAAAATGACTAGGGATATTGCCAATTTTGTAGTTTAACTTTTCCCTGTCATTTCTATTTTATTTTTATTATAAATTTATAAGAAATTCTTATGTTTTTTACTGAGAAAAATTTAATTAAGGAATTTTGAAAAGTAACATAATAAAAGGGTTTGAATCCATAATTTTGTTTATTGGACACAATAATTTTTTAAGCCATTGAATGTCCTCAGTTAGCTAAAACCTCTGTGCACCGTCAGACACACAGTTAATAAGGTTGTCACTGTTTTCATAAGGAATTTCTCTCCATTAATGTCGCAACGTTGCTCTCAGTAGTTGCAAGTCAACTGGGTGTGGGTGACCGAAAAGCCTTCTCGGCAACGCATCGCTGTATGGTATTGAGGTCTGGAGACAATGGAGGAAGGGGCAGATAGGAAATTCCCAGATTTTTTAAACATTGATGAACTACCTCTACGAGGTCTGGCATTGACATCCAAAAATCTAAAATCCCCGCCAATGAGATCACTGGTTTGAGGGATGTATTCCTCGATAATTTCATGGACATGACGGACTGCATTGTTGTTGCCTTCAACAATATGGAGTCCAGTTCGTCCTCCAGTGTATTTCCCAGCCCAGAGTATTACACCGCCTCCTCCAAACTGCACTGAAGGTAGCATGAGTTAGGACATATACATCCCTTGTCCTTGGTAGATTCTTCGCCACCTGCTACCACTATACAGACAGAAAAGCGACTCATCAGTAAACATAACAGCATTCCAATTGGTGTTAGCTTCTAGGCACTCACTGCACCATATTCTCCTGAGTTGCTTGTGGTGAGCTTGATGCAGGTCGTCTCAAAGGAGCATTCGACATGAGTAAAAAACTATTTTGATTATTTAAAAAAATTTCTATTAGTTATTTAAATTTACTTTAATTACCTAATTTATTTATATATTTCAATCAAATGTTCATTAATTAATTTTAATAGATAACAGACTTTTTTTAATCCAATAAATGAAAATTTTGTGACATCATTTTCCATGGTGTAATTTATTTTCAGCCACTTTCTTCATACTCATGAACACTTGCAGACCAAAACATGATTTAAAAAAATCCAAATGATAGCTAAAAGCTCTAAGTGATAAGGAAAGAAATTATTGTACTTTTTGTATTATTTGGTTTTATTCCTTGGGTCTCAAGAGCCTTTTGGCAGTTTTGGCCCTCTCAAAAGGTAAAGAGTTTATGGTGACCACTCAAAACTAACCTGTCTAAATACTGTGATACATACATTCTATAGTAATCACCTTGACATCAACAATATTTCTCCTTTATACGAAGATAGTATATTCAAGGCTACTACCCAAGTAATTCAAGTGACTACTCCAGCATGAGCACCCAGACAGCAGCAGCTTGTTTTTTACCAATGAAATAATTTCTTCTTTAGAGTATCATACTCAGGAGTGAGGCATGCGCTTACTCCAGGCGTTTTATGCACCTGCTGCAAATCTAGGCTCATTTTAACCCAGAGAGTCTGTTTCCACTGGCCCTACTGTGCAAGGAAATGCAGACCATGTTCACCGCTCCAACACAGCCTCATAAAAAAATTGAAACTATTCATATTTTGCTTAATAAAATTGATAATTGTAAAAAAAATTAAAATTAAAAAGTTTCTCTAAGGTATTTACACTGAACTGGCTTTTCAGAATTGTAGTGAGGTTAGTGAGTCAGTAAGTCTGTGTTTGGTTCTTCAGCATTAACACACCTACAGATTGATGTCAGTTCCACTGTAAAAACACAGGGCGCCAGTGAAATTTAAATTCTCCCTATTACAAAGGCCACTCCCATACCAGCAATATTTTTGGAGCCATCACTGTATGCAAAATTAGAATTATGAATTTTTTTTATTGTATAACTTTTTTTTCTCCCGACGTCTTGGTCACTTCAGCCCCCAACTAAGTTTACATTCTATTTACCCTTTCAAACACTACCTTCATACAAATAAATACATTCATACACATAAATACATCCATACAGTACACTCATTCCGTTTGGTCAGTGGAGTACTTGATATTCCTCCACCGATCTATATTCAAACTAATCTAGATTGGGGTCGATGGAGTACGTTTATAAATATTCCGCCATCGACCCAGAACACACACTCATATGCTCCCAATGTTCGAGGGGTGATGATGACGTTATATTTCACCCTCATTCCGCGCCATTCACGCTAATAAATACATGCACTCAGACAAAACATATAGACACACAACACATAGGACTATATACAATAAAAAACCCCAATTTCTCGTATAAAGCAGAACAGGGGACCCAGAAACCCGCTGCAGTGCTTGAGTACCATTTTCAGATTGGACGGCATGCCTATACGCTCCCTGTAGGGAGCCAAGGAGCCAAGGCATGACATGTTTCCAATATGTGGGACAATTCGAGCAACCTTTCTCTGCATAAGGGGCACATGTGCGGGCTTTGGCGCAGGAGCAGGTGCCTGTGTGTCAACCGCATATGGCCATTTATTGTATAATTCCTTTCTGTACAGATGAGATGGGATGTACAGGGGGATGATGAGTGATGATGGTGGGACTTTTATACAAGATGTGACAATGTAACGAACATACTGTTAGATGCCTAGGTATCAGCTGACCTTGAAGCACTGGTCGTGGGATGAATGCAGATGCTGGCACCCATCTAAAAGGACTGCCATGAATGTAGAAGAAAAAAATGGAGAAGTACTAGTCATGGGCCTCTCTTCCATTAAAAAAAAGCAAAAAATGTAAGCATTTATTATATGGGTGGCTTCACTTGCAGTCCGCAAAAAAAAAAAAAAAAAAAAGTGTAATTACTTCACCAATAAAAACTCTTTTATATTATTCTTCTACATATAGTTTTTATTATTATTTTTTCAGGTCATATGAACCCTCAGGGCGTTGGTGTTTATGAAAGCCAATTTGTAAACATGTAGGTTTCAAATGTAGGGCCACTGGATTCGAACCAGAGACCTTTATCTCAGTGATGAGTGCTGTGTCAATACCTAAACCATAGTGGCCACCAACACCTCCTGACATTTTTTTTTAAAATATATCTTTGATTAAATAATGAATTATATATGTGGGATAAAATTTATGATCAGTGGTACAATTTTTTAATTTACAATTTATGCTATATTCTACATTATAACATTTCACTTTTATGTCTGTATTGATGGATAAGTACAGATGTAGGAGAAAAAATAAAAAATCTTTAAACTACATTCTTATTTTCTTACTATTTACTTCATTTAATAGCCAAAAAAAAAAATATTTGAAAAAATAAATAAACATCTGTCATGAAAATGACAGAAATTAAATTTAACACACATGATTTCACACTGGTTTCCTCACACATGACACAATTACATCAATGAAATACATTACAGGAAGTCACACACTCTGAAACAAGTTCATGCCACGTTCACATACACTACACATATCACAAATTTAACATTGGAAGACTGTAACATTTCCACGTACAAACACCAAACACATCAAAATGTTCAGATTGTTGAATAAATTAAAGTTCCATCGGGTGAAGGTGCCATGCTTGCCCACTCCTTTCACACGCCAGGTATGCATAAAAATAGCTTAAACAGATTTCATTGTTAGCAGTTAAAATAGTTTTGGTTAAAAAAAATTGGATTTGTTTTTAAAATACTGCATTTTTCCTTAAAAGACATTTTTTCCGTTTTTACAGCCTGTAAGATATAATATGTGTGGAGGAGGAATGATAGAAGACACTGGTTTGATATTAGGGTGTTACTGTGACTATCACTTTCCAAAAGCGATCGAACTGACTGAAACGTCAAAGCTGTTCAATATTGAAATTGAGGGCAGACTTTCAGAGGCACTAAAAGCCACTGGTCCTACTCCAAAAGAAGGAGAGTACAGGATTATTTATAATCTGCACCCTTTATATTCAGCCATTGCAGTCGTCGGTCTCGGAGAAGGTTGCTATACGTACAATGACATGGAAGAGATGGACGAATACAAAGAAGTCGTCCGTATTGCCAGTTCCGTTGGAGCCCGAGCGCTCCAAGAGATAAGAGTAAATAATTGTTAAAATGTAAAATAGCGAAAATTAATAAGTGGTTTTTTTTCCAGGTAAGAACAGTACACACGGAAAGCTTCAATACAGCAGAATCTGCTGCTGAAGGCACCTCGATGGGAGTGTGGATGTTTCAAGAATTGAAAAATCCCAATAAACACCAAACGATCCCCAGGCTGGAACTTTATGGAAGCTGTGACTATACAGGCTGGCAAATTGGATTGCAAAAAGGCGCAGCACAAAATCTGGCAAGGCAACTTGCAGAAACACCACCGAACATCATGACACCTATCGGGTTCGCCCAGGGTGCTGTTGACATTCTAACAAAAGCTGGAATCAGCGTGGAAGTTAAGGCAAGGACTTCATTTTATACATATATAAATATAAATAGTATATTATTTATCATATATTATTATAATTAATTAATATATTAATTATTAAATATATTAATTATTAATGTATTAATTAATTATTAGTATATTTGAACCATTGTTTGCAGAAAGGGGACTCCATTTTTAAACTTTTTCCCACTATCTTTTTTGCTACAAATAGAGCTATTCTGGTGCTAAAATGGGACATTTCTCTTGAATGGATATGAAAGAAAACTGGCCTTCAAATTTGCCCTGAGCAAAAAAAATTCCTGGTGATGTAATTTCATTTCTTGTCCCCCGAAATTGAAGAAATTCACCTGTTTTGCGATTGTGAAGGATAAAACAACAACCCCGCACCGATTAGGGCCATCATGGCGATGGTGGAGCTCTAACTTTTTAATAAAATAAGTGTATTTTCCCATGCTAGGACACTTTTCTCCGTTGCGTCCGAGATTTTGGGTTTTTAAAAAGAAAACTGAATAAAATCCAAAGGATGTAAACTCCTGTCGAGTACAACACTATCGTTACTGCTTCCAACCATCCTCATAAGTTCACAGTAATGTTAGTTGACTCAACAATGATAAAAAAAATACCAAAAGTGGTTTCCTTACCTATTTCGTTAAACAAAATACATCTTTGGATGAAGACTACCTGCAAAAGATCAAAAGAAATTCATGATTTCATGATGCCATTACTTACGAGTTATCATCGCAAGCACCAGGCACTATTTGTTGATCTGAGTTCATTGATGGCCTAGTAGCCTACCATTTCCAGCTGATGAAGGGAATACTCCTAATATTGTGCTACCAACTACAAAGTTGTACACGTCAAAGATTCCAGTCAATGCTGCAAAAATGAATGTTTTGAAGAGCCTCAAGCAGTACATCCCACAAACGGCAGTTCATACTTTTTGGAGTTCATTTTACGCTTGAGTTAATATTGTTCTTTTGGGTCTCGTGTTTTTACTTTAATGTTGTTTGATACGTTTTTTGACAATGTGTGTTTGATTGTATTAAATATTTACGAGGCGGTAACCTCATTTCTTCTAGAAAACGATCCCTTCTCCACAACAAAAAAGTGTTGAGAGCAGAATATAAACATGTCCACACCACAAAAGTAGCTACCATGTTCACAAGCATTGATTAATTTTAGGAGAACCTCAAAATTCATTTGTAGACTAGCCTAATTGAGATTAAAACTGTTTTTTGCCTCTTCTGTAAAATTTAGTTTTTGGGACATGTCCCCTTTCTACAATCAGTGTTTCATTTATAAAAATATATTTTTAAATTATAAGTAGATCGACGCGTCGCCTCGCCGAGGTCGTCGCGTCGGCCAGCGGCCTTTTTGAGGGTTTCGTACCGTTTGAGAATCGCGGATTGCCGGGTCTCTCTCGCCAGCTGTTACTCCTGTGACGATGCGTCGAGTACGTCGAGCGTTTCTTTTACGTTATATAGTCATAGACGACGTGGCGTCGAATACATCCAAAGTACAGTGCGCGTTTGTATAAATCTGATAGTAAGTACTGTCGGTCCTAGCATACTACAGACCGAAGAGCGTAGGGTTCAAGAGTTGTAGACGAGATCGGAAGAGCAGAAATCGGCCTATGCATCCGTAGCTTGACAAGAGGAGAAAATTTTGCAAGTCCCGAAATGAGCGTTAGACCTCTTTATATCTATCTACCTATCGAGAGGGTTCTTTCGTACTGTACAGCTATATTGCGAACCGTCGGGTGTCTCATCCTCTTCCTACTACGAGATGGTGACGAAGCGTCGAGTGTTTCTTTTCCTCGGCGAAACGTGACGCGTCCCAATTGACGCGGCGTCGACTCGGCCCTAGTACGCGACAGTACAAAGAGGTCGTTCTCTTCGGGCCGCACACACACACACCAGGGCCCCCTAGAGAACAAGCGTCTCTTCCGCGCGCCACAGTTCGCTCCGAGGGCAGTTCCCAGGTTGATCGTGCCAATAGTCATATGCCCTCAAAGCTTAACCCATGAAAGTCTAGACAGACTACATTCACGGGAAACCACTCAGTAAACCAGTTTAACGTGCTAGAGTTAACTTGGTCGCGCCGATGTGCACAGAAGGCTCTGGGCGAGAGCCCTCCTGGAGCCGTCGCCGGTGCAGATCTTGATTGTAGTAGCAAATAATACTGCGAGGCCCTGGAGGAATGATGTGAAGAAGGGTTTCTCGTGAACAACTGTTGCTCAATTGCTCAAGAGTCAGTTGATCTTAAGCCTTAGGAGAAATCCGAAGCGAAGGGTTGCCGTTAAGCCTATGTCTCGGGTCTTCGGGAAAAGCTGATAGGAGATGTCGGTCGGTGTCGAGACGAGTTGGAGATGCACACACGTTGTCAAGTAATAACGCAGGTGCCTTTAGGTAACCTCAGCGAGGACTGAAACCTCGCGTAGAGCAAGAGGACAAAAGCTAGCTTTGAACCCGATGCTCTCTGCGAAAGCACGGCTTATCGATCTTTTGGCTTCAAGAATTTTCAGCAAGAGGTGTCAGAAAAGTTACAAAGGATCCTGGATTGTGGCGGCCAAGCGTTCATGGCGAGGCTGCTTGTTGATCCTTCGATGTCGGTTCTTCCTATCATTGCGAAGCAGAATTCGCCAAGCATCGGATTGGTCACCAGCCAATAGGGAATGGAAGCTGGGTTTATACTGTCGAGAAACAGTTCATTTTACGCTTCTGTTGATACATCATTGCTATAGTAATCCTCTTTAGTACGAGAGGAACCGCAGGTTCGATCAATTAATTGGTTCATCCACTCGGTCGACAGGTTACCTTCATGGGATTATGCCTGATCGCCTCAAAGGCCGAATCCTGGCTGTGAGCAATGATACGCTGTATGTCTCGTTTGTCGGAAGACCCAAAATCATGCGACTTTAATAGGCTTCTCGTTTAAGGGCCATCGCAGAAGCCAAGTGACGAAAGACCGAGAACAAGTGGACAAACGTGTTGCAAAGACGATCGAGCCTTTGTATCGAAGGGAGAAAGACGTCACCTCGAAGGGTACTCTTAATTCTTCATCGACAGCTTTAAAAGATGGAACCCCGCGCGCGACGCGAGCTTACCAGTAGTCAGTAGATCCGTGTTGTAACGGGGTCTACTATAAGTTGTCTTGCGATTGTGACAAGTAAGAAAGTGGTCTCCCGGACAGGAAAATTAAGAATGCCATCGGCATTCATAGAAGCGTGTGTCATGATCGCAGGCCTGTGACTAAGACTTCGAGCTGTCGTGAGGAAAAGGTATACAGCGAAAGAAAGACCCGACAACGACAATAGGTGTGACTTGTAGGTGTGTGAGTCCGAGAGCGTTTTGGTCAGCTGTGTGGGGTGACGCGGAGTGAGCGGAGAGTCCGTGTATTCATGGTTTGAAAGGATGGATAAATAGATTGGTATTGAAGGCGGAGGATTCCTGTCCGAAGAAACGGGAAGAGACCTCCAGGTGGCCAATTCACGCGACGGGTACGCCACGATGGGGTACATTAGTCGGGCGTAGAGATACGCCAAAGAGATCAACACACGCACACTTTTCCTGTCTTATTTGATAGTGTCCAATTTTTCTCGTTTATATCGAGTTAGCGAACACTAGAGTGCGTCGTAGTAGGCGACGCGTCAAGTACATGTGTATGAAACAGAGTCTACTTTATTAACATTAATGTTAATTTTAGGTGAAACAATGGGCAAAAATCATGGACATGAATGCCTATTTGGCATCGGCGTCAGGATCTTGTGAACCGCCAGTATTCCTTGAACTCAGTTACTACGGTTGCGAAGCAGATGTCCCTCCTCTTATACTTATCGGGAAGGGTGTGACATTTAACAGTGGAGGTTTGTTATTTATTTTTAAATTATTCATTTGTATAATATATAATATAGAACATATCGATGACAAAAAATTTAAAATAGACGGATATCTAATTTAAACCAAATGACACATGTCAATCCACTAATAGTGGGAAGTCAAAATTGGCACGGTGATTGGATCATTTTTTTAACTTTGAACCGGCACTGGGTCCGCCTAAACTTGCGAGTGTACCTGTTCGCCGACTCCCAGACCTGTACCAACTATCATTCTTTTATCATCACATAATTTGACAAACTTATAAATGAGTTGATTTTTGATAGAATCTCCCAGCACTTTGAATCAAATGATCTTGGTTTTCTCAAGGCAGATCCACCTCCCTTGCCACCGGTGAATTGGTTGGGTGAATTTTGTCAAGATTTGAGAAAGGCCGCTAGTTATTTGGACCTCTCATGTGCTTTCGATTGTCTCACTTAATATTCATATAAATAAGTTAATAGAAATGATAAATGGTGGAGGGAACGAACCATTTAAAAAAAAGATTTATTGCATTGATGAAAGAAGTACTTGTGAATTACTGAGTTCATACCTTCACAATAGAAAACGGGTGTTAATGGCTTGGATTCAATATTTAAACCTGGTAGTTCCCCAGGGGTGTAGTTTGAGTCCTTTTTTATTTAATATATATGAATGGACAATTATGTTGACAGTACTTCTATGATCATTTTAGCGGATGACGCAAGCATTTTTTCACGTAGTAAGGATCTAAATAGGTCTATACAACTTAATTGGGGTAAGATGAACTTTGCGAACACCCGGCTTTTGGCTAACAGGTTTGTACTAAACCTGAACAGGACGCAACATGTTTTCTCTTCGTGACCTTTCCTCTTGGGTTGATTACCATTTCTGTCAAATATCTCTCTATTTTCATTGCCATCTCTTATTATTGGGGAAATGACCCTCATTCCGTTTCAAGCTTCAAAATCCAAAATATGGCCTTAAGGGTACTAGCTGGTATTTCCCCGAGGGATTCTTGTAGAACCTGGTTTCCTAAACTCAAAATCTTGCCCCTCCCTTGTGTGTACTTGTTAAGTTTATTAAAATTTATTAAGTCTAACGAAGCATGCATCCCAGTCGATCCACTTTGTCTGATTACAATACTCGTGGTGCGAACAATCTTATAGTACAGGGATGCAGACTGAAAAAAAACAACAACAAAAACTAGCAAATTCTATATCGATGTGGGACTGGAGGAGTTCCCTCCTGACCACTGCAGCTGAGCTGTACAGCTTATTATACTTTATACCTGGCTCCATATTTTAGGGGAGGGCTCGCAACACAAATGTGAACTTGATCCCCCGGTGTTCTTCCATCGAAGAAACACATTTTTGAGGCGGGTTGGGACCAAATTCAGGGTCGCTGAGATCCGATCCCGCCCCTTCCATTGATGATGCCGTGTCAATTTCTTTCAATTGCGGCCACCGGTCCCCTTAGGCGTCAGAAAAAGTCCAGAGGCGACTGTGGGGATCGAACCCACGACCACGGGATTTACTAGCCGAGAGTCTGACGCCTTAACCACTCGGCTACCGCGGCCCCCGATGTGGACATTAAATTGTATAATCACCTTCCTGGTTCAGTCAAGAAGAAGCGATAAAGCCTTTCTCAGCTCTGTTGAGGATGTCCTTTCGAGAAAGTCTTTTTATTCCATTGACGAATGCTAAATTTTAGTTTGTAATAAATTATTTATATTTGTTTACTGCTTTTTAACTTGCAACCATATTTCTGGCAGCTGATAACTTATTAGGGCTTTTTTTATATATATGTATATATATGCTTGACAGATTACCTATGTACTATTGTACCTTTGGTATATAAATATAAATAAAAATAAAATAGTGACAGGGATCATGGAGAAAGAGTCGATGTTGAAGAGCTGTTGAGCAACAAAGACTCGTGGGCAAGCGATGACAGCAAGCTGTGTGGTGCGCAGTCATCAAAGCACAAGGCGAGTGTCGATGAGTCAGATGATGGCTGTAGAAGCCGGTGTTTTACTGGGTGAGGCTGACCCTGTTATTGTGGATTCTGATAGCTGTTACTCCATTAATAGATGTGACAACATGTTGAGTCCGATTTAAGACGGTTGAGCCCTTGCTTAAATCCTAGAGAGCCTCATGAATCATTAGCTATTGCTTCAAAGGATGAAACACTGTCCAAATATGTATTCGTGACTTCCAGGAGTTGGCCTGGTCTTAGGAAGCTATAGGAAGGCACCACACTTGTCTTGAACTTTAAGTTGGCTTTATTTTAAAAGAAAGCATTTGTTGATTATGTGTAACACGTTATCAACAGTCTAAGTCTCGCTAGATAGTATCTATTATTTTAGCAAAGTTTAGCTGTTGTCAGATTTGACATTTTAAATCTGTTCTAATATCTATCAATAAATTTCAGGATTGTGTTTGAAGCAGTGTGAGGACATGGGAGTCATGCGAGGTGACATGTCTGGAGCTGCCATAGTTGTAGGAGCGATGAGAGCAGCCAGTGCGTTGAACTTGCCGCTTAACATTAGAGGGCTCATACCTCTTCTGGAAAACATGCCTGGCAACTGTGCCTTGAAGGCAGGTGACATAGTACGTGCAAAAAACGGAAAAACGATCCTCGTCGAGGATACCGATTTCGATGCAAGACTGGCACTGGCTGACACCATGTCCTACGCTGGCAACTACAATCCAAAGGCCATAGTCGACATCGGTAAATAATAATTTTCAACAGAAATATCACTTTGTTAATATTTTTAATGTTTTTTAGGAACTACATCGAGCAACACGATTCACGGTTTAGGGCGTGGTGCGACTATCGGTTTCTCAAACAACGACATCATGTTCGAGTCGATGAGAATATCCGGAATGCACACTGGAGATCGAGTCTGGAGGTTCCCCCTCTGGAAATTCTACCAGTACAAACTGCAGAATCCTTTCGCCGATACGGCCGACACCTGGGTGAGCAGGAACTACAGCGATCCGTGCGCGGCGGCCGCCTTCCTAGGCGAATTCTTGCCGCTGGGCACAGACTGGATCCACCTCGATATTTTCGGCACGTTCACGACCGATAACGAAATCCCCTATTTGAGAAAAGGCATGTCAGGTCGTCCAGTCAGGACGATCGTGGAATTCTTAGCTCAACAGGCTTGCCAGCACAACGAGGCTGAAGTCCAGGCCACGGGCGGTGGTCATATGACTCTCTCTTGTGCTGGTGGTGAGAGTGAATCTAAAAAGAAGTAAAGTCAATCTACTCGACTCTTAATTGACCATCCCTTATACATCCTTTAGTTTTTGTGTCCCCTGCAAGATTTTGTAGCTTTGCTGTGTTTGGTAGCATTTTCATACTTAATAAATACAATAACAAACAATATCAGTTGAATTATTTAAATATTAAGAAAGACACAGAGTGTTTAAACTCACCAAAAAATATACTAAAATGAATACAACTATAAAACCTACCATTTGAAGAATGCAATCTTTTTTAAAGTGTGTGAGAAATTCTGTTACAAATAAATAAATTAAAATAAAAAATTAAAAAATAAAACCATAAATGCACTTATCCGGAGGTTGATTAACTTTCCGCCCTGATGAGAGGTTGAGAGGGCCTCTTCAAACCATTTCAATTAATCTCTCGCTAATTAATCGGCCGAATTTGGTGAAACTTGGCACAATTATTGGCCAGCCGTGGCGTAAATAGCTGGTTGAAATCAGTGGAGAGGAATCGACCAAAAGCCCTTGCATCACACTTTTCACTGGTATTACGGGGGCCTTTAACCACTGAGCGATCTAGCAGAACAGCCACACAAAAGGACTTAGTGCAATTGGGGTTTTCACTCTTGGAACTCTTGTTTTGCACTAAGAAAAAATATCAGTGCCAGAAAAGATCAGGTTTTTTTTATATTTGACGCACTTTCCCACTTTTCATCCCTTTTGGAGTAATAATCAGGGCTGTGTATTATACAGTACATTAAATCTAGAATATTTATCCACAGTACCAACGAAGTCAAAACGAGAGTCTTTGGTGGCATATAGAGTTATTCAAAAGTTAACGGAAAAAAAAATCAGTGAAAATAAAATATACTATAATAAAATGATAAAACAACTAAATGTTTTAAAATTCTTTGATTTTTTTTTACATTTTTGCGACACTGTGCGCCGATCCTGTCTAGGAACTATAGCTTTTTCCTTCAAAATAATCATTTTTAACTTCAAATTTAACCCTTTTAAATTTCAAATTAACCCTTATTTACTTAAAATTAACAGGTTTTTGTTTCAAGTTAATCTTTGTAACGTTAAATTAAACTTTTTTTTAAAGATAATTCTTTTTAACTTCAAATTAACCTTTTTTTTATATTTCAAATTTCCCTTTTTATCTTCAAATTCACCATTTCAACTTCGAAATTAACAGTTGGGGTAAGAAAGTCAGTGTCACGAGCGGAATTCGACCCAGGATCTTCTCGGACACATTTTTCAAATTTCGTGTAAAAATGTGTTGAAAAAGGGCAAAAAGGAGGGAAAGTTCAAAAGGTGGGGTTGAGATGGGAAGTTAGTGTCCGAGGTCACGATAGCTCAAGTGGTAGATCAGCGGCGTATCAAGCCGAAGATCTTGGGTTCGAATCCCGCTCGTGCCATTAACTTTTTTATTTCAACTAAAAACCTTAATTAATTGTAATATATTAATTGGTCAAGCGGACCACAAAATTAATGAATCTAACTAAAATATAGAATAGGTATTTGGGGGGGGGGGCTTCCGGGGTAGATAAGGGAGGAATGTGATTAATGGAAGGGATAATCTTTAGAGGAGATAGATTAAAAAATAAATAATTTTCACTTATAAGTTTGTACGAAATAAATTAAATCGATTTTGAATGAAAATAAATATTAATTTAAAAAAAACAACGTAAAAGTTGGTATGAAATATAAGTATTTGAGATTTTCATTTTATAGGTATAGAGGTCATATGATATAAAAACAAATGATTCTTCCATAAAGTTCAAGATTTTAAAATAATCTTTTTTTAGTTTTTTTTTAAATCTGGAATTAATAGATCCATTTTGTATATATTAATTCCATATGAGTTCATTTTAATTGTAATTAATTGAAAGATATTAATCGGTCAACGGATCACGAAAACTAGTGAATTTAATAAGATAAAATGAAGTATACCTTCACTAAAGCTCTCCGTGGCCATTTCATTTGTCGCCGAGAATCAAATAGATTACACGACATTTGAAAAATGGCAAAAATGGAAAATTCAAAAGGTGGGGTTGAGATGAGAAGTTAGTGTCCGAGTGGATCGAGGTCACGATAGCTCGAGTGGTAGAGCAGCGGCGTATTTAGCCGAACGTCGTGGGTTCGAATCCCGCTCGTGACACTGACTTTTTTATCTCAACTAAAAACCTTAATTAATTGAAAGATATCAATTGGTCAAGCGGACCACGAAAACTAGTGAATTTAATATTGTAATTAATTTTCACGTGCTATTTTAAGGAAGAACACATTTTATATTTTAAAAAATTCTGTAATAAAATATATTTTAAAATAATCTCGCATTTATAGAAGAATCCTTTATTTTTATCCTATATAATTTTAAATTTTAATTTTCTTATTGTCTTCTGAGGGTTCAATTATTTTATATTTAAGAACCATACGCAAATATACAGGAATTTTATTTTACATGTTGATATTTCATACCATCTCCTAAGTTATTTAACGATTTAAATAATGGGGTAATTTGTAATAAAAAATGGTTTAGTTGAAGATAAAAAGGGTTAATTTAACGAAAATCGATGTATGGTGTTTCTGGGTGCTTCGGGCGCTTTAAGTATGGCCTTTTCGCCATCAATTTAATTGTTGAAATTTTTTTTAAACGTGCCACTTTTAACACATCCATAACAAGAATGAGGGATCTCTATAAGGAGAGTGCCTGGTGCTTGTTGTTACACTGCTATTTCTCGAAAAGCACTCATCTGTAAACCAAATGGATTGTTCAGCGTGAAATCTGTAAATGCTAAGTGTACTATTAGTTTCGAGCTTTATCCATTTAACACGTTTAGAACAGTATGAGGAAAATATCACTTATTTATTCTGTCCAACCTAGACCTTTCTTAATCTCAAGGAAATATCAGGAGATATTAATTAATTCTAAGTAATAATATTTATAAAAAAGAGTTTTATTTACAATAAATTATTAATAAATTATTTTAGTAAATTATGGATTTGTTTCTTTGTCTTCTGCGTTTTCGTCCTTCCAGTCGCCAGTCCCGCCGGTGACGGTGCCTCCGTGGATGCTACCGGCAACAGGAGCTCCGTGCTCCAATTCACCTTCTGGCCCGTGGTCATCAGGATGACTGTGTTCTTCAGCCACTATTTCATGATGAACCGGGGGAGAAATATGACTGGCAGGGACCGGGGCCGGTTGGCCGGCGAACAGGCCTCCGTAGTAACCGCCGTCGTCGATCGGACCCGAGAATCGGTTCGGCTCCGTGTGGATGGGTCCGCAAAGCGGGATCTTGGGGTCGGTTGGAAAACAATTTTTAGCAACCAGTGTCGCAGTCACGGCGTGATCGTAAATCTTTTCGATCTTGGTGACCCAGATGGTTTGGGTTATATGATGAGTTGCTTTCAGAAGTCCCTTGAGGAGCTTCTCTTTTTCACTGTCTACCAGACGGTAGTCGGGCTCGCTTCGGACCTCCATCGCCATCATGGGAATCGGGTGTCTCACTATGTACCGTCCTTGTCTATGGTTAGTTTCTTCATTTTTCGGAACTTCTTTCGCTTCTTCCATAGTTACTTCACTTTCCGTTATACTACCAAGTACCCTTGTTGCTCTGGAAAAAATAAATAAAAAGAACGTAAGCAAAACAATAACAATTATAAGAGTAGTATTGGCTTCTTGCCATTTTGAAGTAAATGGGATCTGAAGGTCTTTGTGGATAGTAAAGTTAGATACGAAGAAGTGAGCTTGTGGAAAGGTTTTTGAACTGGATTGCCAGATTCTTTGGTGTTGAAACATTTAGGTAAATCTCACCGTCCAATTCCGCATGCACAGAAGTGGGTAGGTTTGCTACATGCAAGAGAAACATAGTAGTACATTTGAAAAGACGGGAAAGGATGAAAGATATTTACTGTGATTTGGTTTCTTTGAGCCTGATTTCTTGAATCTCTCTTCCAAATAGATCTTGGCGTTTTATTAAGCCCAGTACTGAGTTTGCCAAACGGTGGAGGTAAAATTTCAGATTAACTTATTTAACGAAAAATTAACCTTTTTTAAAATTTTAAATTAACCATTCTAGCATCAAATTAACAGTTTTAATTTAAAAATAATTCCTTTTGAATAAAATTAAGAATTTGAACTTCAAATTTAACTTTTTATTATATTTTCAAATTAATTCAAATGAACCATTATGGACTTTAAAATTAATCCTTTTTAACATCAAGATAACCTTTTCATTAAACTGAGGAGATATTATCAAATAAAAGCATATAAAGCAAAATTTCTGTTATTTTTTAATGTAAGAAAATTGCGCTTACCATATAAAAATTTATTTAATTTAAAATTGAAGATTCTTTTTAAATTTAAGATTTAAAAATAAATAAAATAATTGGCCAAAATATATAATGTATATTTTGAAAAAATCTCGAATTTAATTTTTTATATTTATTTTAATTGTAGTAAATTTTCATGTATTCAAATTTACATACGAATGCATTTTCTATTTTTTTAAGTTTTGATATTAAAAGGAAAATTTAATTTAATTTAATATAATTTTTAATTCTAATTATAATTAATTTTCAAATGGCCTTCTGAGAGCCAAATCATTTTGTAGTTGAGTAAAATCGCATGCATACAGGATTTTTACTTTTTATGTTTATATTGCGTACCATCTTCTAAGTGCTTAATACTTAAAAGAAAGGGCAAATTTGAAATTAAAAAGGGTTAACAAATTTAACTTTTTATTATATTGTCAAATTAATTCAAATTAACTATTATGGACTTTAAAATTAATCCTTTTTAACATCAAGATAACCTTTTCATTAAACTGAGGAGATATTATCAAATAAAAGCATTTATAGCAAAATTTCTGTTATTTTTTAATGTAAGAAAATTGCGGTCTTACCATATAAAAATTTATTTAATTTAAAATTGAAGATTCTTTTTAAATTTAAGATTTAAAAATAAATAAAATAATTGGCCGAAATATATAATTTATATTTTGAAAAAATCTCGAATTAATGGAAGAATTTATTTTTTATATTTAATTTTATATATCTTTTTATTTTAATTGTAGTAAATTTTCATGTATTCAAATTTACATACGAACGCATTTTCTATTTTTTTAAGTTATGATATTAAAAGGAAAATTTAATTTAATTTAATTTTTAATTCTAATTAATTTTCGAATGGCCTGAGAGCCAAATCATTTTGTAGTTGAATAAAATCGCATGCATGCAGGATTTTTACTTTTTATGTTTATATTGCGTACCATCTTCTAAGTGCTTAATACTTAAAAGAAAGGGCAAATTTGAAATTAAAAAGGGTTAACCTGGAGTAAAAAAGGTTAATTTAATATGAAGGTTTAACGTTTAGATTAAAATAGGTTAATTTAAAATTTTAAAAAAGGCTAATTTGACTGAAAAAGCTACAGCGTTAAGAAAGCACCCAACCTGCTTACACTCAAGTAAAGGGTTGATGATGTTTGACACTGATGAACCATATTTATTGAAATTTAAAATAGAGAAACCTTATATATCTTTGTCCTGAAAACATAATCCAACACCATGATCGAACACCTTTGGGACGAGATGTCAAACAGGGTAAAAAGTCGACCAGTGATGCCAAAGAATTTGCAAGAAGGAATGGCACTGTTGGAGGAGTTTGAAAACATTCCACAGCTCTACAATCAAAACTTCATAAAATCAATGTCGAATGCAATAGGTGATCAACGCAAGAGGAAGAAATACTGAGCTGAATTGAATATTTTCTTTATCAATATTTTTATGTAAGGTTTTGGCTGAAATAAAAAAGCTAGTGCCACGAGCGGGATTCGAACCCACGACCTTTGGCTGAATACGCCACTGTTCTACCACTTGAGCTATCGATCCACTCTAACTAACTTGAAAAATGGCAAAAAGGAGGGAAAATTCAAAAGGTGGGGTTGAGATGGGAAGTTAGTGTCCGAGTGGATCGAGGTCACGATAGCTCAAGTGGTAGAACCGCGGCGTATTCAGCCAAAGGTCGTGGGTTCGAATCCCGCTCGTGGCACTTGCTTTTTCATTTCAACCAAAACCTTATATAAAAATATTAATTAATTGAAAGAAGTAATTTGGTCAATATACAACTAAATATAATGAATTTTCTTTATCGATTCCTTATCAACATTTGGTTGAAATTGTTTTACTCAGTTTAATTTGTTTTGTGTAGTTATATTTTATGGTTTTCTTTACAAATCATTACTAAACAACCAAAAATAAAATTTATAACGATAATAAATATTTATTTTTAAAAAAACCCAGGGTGGCTACTATTTTTGCTTCTCAGTGTTGTTTATGTTCAATTATATTAGATGTATATATATATGTACTTACGGTACATGAATAGACGGTACTGGAGTCGGGGTTATTTGGTGTTTTCGTAGCTGATCCATGTTTTCTTCGAAATCATCCAACACCTCCCTTTCATACGACTCCCCGAGGCAGGGCGGTTGGATGCCGTAGGCCGTCACGCATATCGGGTGTCTCGTTACCCTTTTCGTCAGCTGAGAGGGGAAGAAAAATACATTATGTACGAATTATTCAGAAATCCAGTCTCCGGATTGGTTAAGAGAGGAGATTGAAAAGATTGAAGGAAGGAAGCACCTTTAAGCGGGAGCTCTGTTGAATATTTGATATAAAAGGGGGATGGATACCTTCATAAATACCTACAAGTGGTTAACCTCTTAAGTTCCCACGTATTTTCCTCCTTTCCTTCAAACCCTCTTTATACCATGCTTATTTTTATAGTCAATATTAATAACAACCAAATGCCAAGCCAGGCACTTTAATAAAAATAAAATCAAGGTAAGTTACTGTCGTTTTTTCAATTCGTTCTTTAAACATCAATTTTTAAAAAAAATATATTGGCCTTATGATCTTGCATATTAGCCTTAGTACGAATTCTTGTGTGTTCAAATTGGGGGTTATCGGGAAAAAAGGGCCAGGGGTCGACGGTGGGAATCGAACCCACGACCGCGGCGTGAGAGTCTCTCATGCTAACTACTTTCTTTAGTGTTTCTATTTAATCAATTTTGTACTGGTATTTTGTTCGTACGCTGCGTATTTTTGTGGTACCATACCTGGAATCTGTAACTGAACTGTGATACGGTCGACCAAATGTCCAATTTTTCTAATTTTTTACTATTAATTTAAAAAGAAATTACGAGTAACTTTATTTTGATGTAAAATGCAATGTAAATATTGCGCAAATCCGTGCCCCTTGCTTCTCCCTGCTTATAACCCTGAACCAGCACTGAAAATGGCGTCCAACTCTACTTTTTTCGTATTGATTCGATTGCAATTTTGAAAAACAAATATTACTGTTACAAATATTACGGCTGACATTTGAATGAATGAAAATTTTCAATTAATTAAGGTTTTTAGTTGAGTTGTGTGGTGATTAGTGACCGTTAATCGATATTTATTTAGAAATCGTGAGATGCGGTCTGGTGTGATGTAGGTTTCAGAAAAACATTTTCTTTATCTTGCCAACGTTTCGATCTTTATTGAGATCATCTTCAGGCCCTGGGATTTACAAACATTGTACGTTATGTAATTAGTACATCATATATGTAAACAATGTTTGTAAATCCCAAGCCCTGAAGATGATCTCAATAAAGATCGAAACGTTGGCGCGATATAGAAAATATTTTTCTGAAACCTACATCAGACCAGACCGCATCTCACGATTTCTAAATAAATGTTTTTAGTTGAGATAAAAAAAGTCAGTGTCACAAGCGGGATTCGAACCCGCGACCTTCGAATGGCAAAAAGGAGGGAAAATTCTAAAAGTGAGGTTGAGATGGGAAGTTAGTGTCCGAGTGGATCGAAGCCACAATAGCTCAAGTGGTAGAGCAGCGGCGTATCTAGCCGAAGGTCGTGGGTTCGAATCTCGCTTGTGGCACTGACTTTTTATCTCAACTAAAAACCTTAATTAATTGAAAGATATTAATTGATCAAGCGGACGACAAAAACTAGTGAATTTAATGAATGAAATGTTTAAGTTGTGTTCCTGAACCCAAACTTCTTTGACTCTCACGTTAAAAAGAAAACAACTACATATTTTTCGAAATTTCAAAATTGCTCGAAAAAGCTGTTTAAAACGCGTTTGTAGGTTCACATACTAACTATTGAACTTTTAAAAAGTATGTTTTGTTCAAATTGTATACGCCATAGAAGTGATTTTTTTTGTGTTGTGAAATATTGAATAAAGGAAATTCAAATGAAGTTGAAAGTGGTTTATTTTTTAAGGAAAGAGTTTGAAGTTCACTAGCTCCAGTAATTTCTGTCAAATAATTTGCCCGCCCCTTATGAAAAATTCCGTCTTGTAAAATAGGAACTCCCAAAGTTTCAAACAGTAATTTAAAAGTAAGGATAAAAACTTACCTCGACGTAAACCGTCTTGGTCGCTGTGACTGTTTCCTTTTTGAAATGGGCCGGGAGCTTGGTGAAGGTAGGTAGATGCGGCAGAGCCGGAAGATGAGGAAGATGTAATTGCGGAAATGAGACGGAAGGCAGCAGATGCTGGAAAGTCGGAAGATACGGGAATGTAAAGAACGGCTTGTACTTCTTCGGCGGTTCGTGGGCTTCCTCCTTCACGGGCTCGTTTGACGTCTTTTCCCCAGAAACGACGGCAACCAATATAAGAAAAAACACAGCCTTCATCCTGAAGAAGCGAAACAACCAGGTGAAAGAAAAAATCGAACGAAAATCCAGGACAATTGATGTGCCAACGTGGCGATTCGACGTTGAACTAAACCTTCCGTTTCTAAATCAACCCTTATATATAGACACAGGGGATAATCCGGTCGACAACCCTATGTCCAATCTCCACCGTTCACTCCGCCAGGTAGTCTCTCCCCAATTAAGTCCCCCGACTCAAATACCCTTGTTCATAGAACTAGCAAAATATTTGCAACCTTTCTGGAAAAAACAGGCCGACAGCCAGGGACCCGAAACCCCATGTCTCAGAGAGAAACGTTAATTTATGACTAACCTATTTTAAAAGTGAATGTCTCAAATAAAACCCAGAAAATCAGAATGCCAACAATTATTTATGGTATATCCTTGCTATTTTAATATCGATTTTGGGTCTGCAGCAGAGTACAAGAAAATTAGTTTCTCTTCGCAGAGTTTATGGTATAAATTATTTAAAAGCAAATGGTTTAATCGACATAGATTAAAAAAAATCCTTACAAAATCCCTACGAAAATAATTCGCGTTTATTATTCAGAAATCGTGAGATGCGGTCTGGTGTGACGTAGGTTTCAGAAAAACATTTTTTTATCGTTCCAACGTTTCGATCATTATTGAGATCATCTTCAGGGCCTGTGATTTACAAACATTGTTTACATTTTACAAATACGTATAGGAGTGGAAAAAATGAATTAATTACGTTACGCAGAAAACAAACACTTTAAGTGAGTACAAATACTTTGATTGAATATAAAATTTTCTAGCATTGTATAAAATCATTTTTTTCCACATCCTACATGAATTTGTTAAATTTAAACAATGTTTGTAAATCCCAGGCCCTGAAGATGATCTCAATAATATAGATCGAAACGTTGGCACGATAAAGAAAATATTTTTCTAAAACTACGTCACACCAGACCGCATCTCACGATCTCCAAATAATCATCAGTCACTAAACACCCCACATAAATTCAAAAGTTTGTTTTAGGCTTCATCTAACTTGCTCGTTATCATTTACTGAAACATTTCTTGAAACATGACAAACTCCTTCCAAAGATAAACAAACTTGAATTTTTCGTTCTGATACACCTGCGTTTTCTTTTTTTCGACAAGACAAATCATTAAGGAACCGATTAACTGAAATTTGTTAAATTAAATATTTCCATAACTCACAATGCAAGCAGTACGGATTAAAAACATCGACGATCCGCGTTTTCCAGTTTTTTACTCTTTCATTGAATTTCCCTAAATACTATGTACAAAAGAATATCGTATAAAATGTATTAAATAGAAAAGTTAAACTACGTTTAACTTCGACCATTTACCAAGGTTTGCGTATAAGTACAAGCTTTAATTAGATTAATTAGAATTAAATAAAAATATTAAATAATAAAGGATATGTCGTATGTTTTTACTTACATCATTTAACCAAGTATTCTGCCATTTTAACGAGTTACCAAATTGAAAACTACATACATTGAAGGTGACTTAATAAATAACGCAATTCGTTTTCAAAGTATCGTAGTAAAGTATGATTACTCTTACAATTAACAAAGGGAAAATTAAAAAACACTGATTTTTCCGTCTTTAACATTAAAACTACATAACAGCAAAACCTCTAAGAAAAAGTATGCGTCAATTTTTATCTAAATTAAAATTGACCGAGTAGTCTTGCTGTTGAATCGTAATTGCCTCAGTGAGCGTACAGTAGTTTATCCGGCGGACAGTGTCGCAATGCATAATAAATTATATAAATTATTCAAATTCCAATATTACCCTATAAAGGATTCATAATTTGCTTATACGATCAACGGAATAATATTTTTTTATTGTTTATTAGCACGATGTATAATATACAACACACCAATTATCTAACCGTAATAATTTACAAATAATGATTTACTTTAGAAGCTTAAATTAATGAGACAAATGGGAGGGGGAGAAAGGGTAAAAGTAAACTCGTCAGCTTTGGAGGGTTGTGTGAGAGGGGAGGGAGAAAGAATAGGAGAAAGATATCGATTGAATGATTAAGCTATTTATTTAATGTCGCAGGCTTAGGCCAAGTTTGGTCGGCGCCAGAGAAAAAAAGATAGGTACATAGAGGGAGAAAGAGAGAGAGAGAGAGAGAGAGAGAGAGAGAGAGTGCGGAAGGCATGAAAAGAAAGAAAGAGCGAGGGAAAAAGAGAGATGGAAAAAGAGAACAGAAAGAATAACGGAGAGAGTGTGAGAGAAAGAAGGAGAAACAGAGGGAAAAAGAGAGATGAAAAAAAAGGAACAGAAAGAATAACAGAGTGAGAAGGAGAGAGAGAGAGAGAGAGAGAGAGAGAGAGAGAGAGAGAGAGAGAGAGATGGAGAGAGAGAAGTGAGTGAGTGCGGAAGTCATCGAAAGAAAGAAAGAGCGAGGGGGAGAAACAGAGGGAAAAAGAGAGATGGAAAAGAGAACAGAAAGAATAACGGAGAGAGAATGGGAGAAAGAAGGACAAAGAGGAAGAGAGAAAGAGAGAGAGAGAGCGGAAGTCATGGAAAGAAAGAAAGAGCGAGGGGGAGAAACAGAGGGAAAAGGAGAGATGAAAAAAGGAAGAGAAAGAATAATAGAGAGAGAGAGAGAGCGAGAGCGAGAGAGAGAGCGAGAGAGAGAGAGAGAGAGAGAGCGAAAGGTATGGAAAGAAAGAGCGAGGGGGAGAAATAGAGGGAAAAAGAGAGATGGAAAAAGAGAACAGAAAGAATAACGGAGAGAGAATGAGAGAAAGAAGGAGAAAGAGGAAGAGAGAGAGAGAGAGAGAGAGAGAGAGAGAGAGAGAGAGAGAGAGAGAGAGAGAGAGAGAGAGTGAGTGAGAGGGATATTGTATTGAATTGGAGAATAGCGAAAATTAAGTAAATTTCAGCAGAAAACTATTGGAAGGGAACAAAGACATACAGACAGAGACTAGACTTCTAGACTTAGACTTCTTCAATTTAACTTTAGCTCTCTAATTAATATTATTGTAACTCGTGATGCATTCCTCTTCCGTGAGCACGTTCGCCAGGAGGCCATTTTGGTCTAAACCTCAGGACAATTATCCTGAAACGTGCGAGATCAGATCTATTTTGGTTAGGTTGATGAATTATTGAGTTTAACTGTTTATAATGGTTGATTCAAACAAGGATTAATCTATTTTGGACAATAGAAGAAGAAGTTTGGTGCCTTTGGGTGACAAAACCTTAAAAATCCACGATAATCCTTTGAAAAAATTTCATAGACTATGCAAAAATGTTACCATATAAATTATGCAATACTATCATTACTTTCTACACATTATAACTGGAATAATAATGTTAATTGTGCTTGTTCTTAAGTTAAACGCGTCTGGTTAAACAACTGCACTGTCTGTGGAAACAGGAATTACTATTAACGAAGGAGATATGAGAAGATATCATGGGAAAAGGACTTGCAACAACACAATACTAACAAGACTTCCTACAAACAGTTCTGATGTAAAAGAAATCCCAGAAAACATTCACCGTTGGTCATTTTGTTATGACACCCGCCGCAGAATCATTTATTGACTCGTATTGTCAAATAATAACAATGTATCTAGTCCAAAATACAGCGGGAGAACAATTTTTAAATAGTGAACAGAAGCTGCAAGGATTTGAAAGTATAATTGAACTGATGCCGTCAGTGGGTTCAATCAAGCGAGGTCCGACTAGATCACTGGCTGGAAAACCATACATCAAAACCAGCAAATCGGAAAATCCATATGATGGAACGAAGGTAAACTAAAAGTAATACAATCAGTCAATCGGTTATATTTATATTATAAGGAATTTGTCCAACTCACTCACTCTCTCAATGTCACTTAATCTCTCTCTCTCTCTCTCTCCCTCTCTCTCTCTCTCTCTCTCTCTCTCTTTCTCTCTCTCTCTCTCTCTCTACATCTCAATGTATATAGATTTTAATGCTCAATTGCAATGCGCGCGTTAGAAAGAAACCTACTGCCAAAAATCTTTTGGTAGATATTCTGCTAACGCCATAAGATTAGTCCAAGATAAAGAACAAAAACGTGCATCCAGAGCAAAATACAAAACCCTTTGGGATCTCGATGCGATGCCCAAATATATTAAAGCCTGACTAATTTAATTAATTATTTTTTGTATATTATTTATTCGTGTATTTATGTACCTATTTATTATTATCCATTTGTTCCAAGTTTTGATATGTGATATATATATATATATAAGTATTACACACAGGTTCTCCAAGCTGCGCCCACCCCATTTTTTTGCGGTTCTAGATAGGAAAAAAGATTATTCGAAGATCGTGAGATGCGGTCTGGTGTGACGTAGGTTATAGAAAAATATTTTCTTTATCGTGCAAACGTTTCGATCTTTATTAAGATCATCTTCAGGGCCTTGTATTGTCTGCATTTCAACAAAAACTTTCTCTGATTGATAGCTGATGCAAGTTTCTTCTAATTCAGTTCATTAAGGTTTTTAACTGAGATAAAAAGTCAGTGTCATGAGCGGGATTCGAGCCCAGGATCTTCGGCCAGTTACGCTGCTACGCTACCACTTGAGCTATCGTGACTTCGATCCACTCGGACACTAACTTCCCATCTCAACTCCACCTTTTGAATTCTCCCTCTTTTTGCCATTTTTATCCGCCATTTTTTAATAAAATTTTCCACCTTTTTTATTTCAACCTAAACCTTAATAAATTGAAAATAAGACCACGAAACCTAATAAAATGTAATAAGCAAAATAAAGCATACCTCAGTAAAGCTCTCTATGGCCATTTCATTTGTCGCCGAGAATCAAACAGAGTACACGACATTTGAAAAATGGCAAAAAGGAGGGAAAATTCAAAAGGTGGAGTTGGGATGGAAGTTAGTGTCCGATTGGATAGAGGTCCCGATAGCTCAGGTGGTAGAGCAGCGGCGTATTTAGCTGAAGTTCGTGGGCTCGAATCCCGCTCGTGACACAGAGTTTTTTATCTCAACCAAAACCTCAATCAATTGAAAAGAAAAAACAATTTTAATCTAGAGAATCTAGAAGGAATAAAAAACATGGAAAGCTTGGCGTAGTTTCAACACCAGAATTTTCT